GACGGATCGCTTTTTTAATTTGATTTTTTCCGTTGCTATTTAATAGCAACGGATAATTTTTTTTTAAAAAAAAAATTATGTAGGGCTTTTATTTAAGGCCCCAAAATTTTTAGGGCTCGCGAGCCTATAAGCCTATAATATCAGGCTCGGCTCGGCTCGCTAGGCTCGCGAGCCTTAAGGCCTATGAGGAGCTTTAATCAAGACTATGGAATTTAAAGATGGTTAATAAAGAAAATTGTGAACAATTTACAACACAAGTTGAACAAATATCTGGATAATATCTTTTGTCACATGAGGATAATAATAACACAGTAGAATCAATATGGTAATCACTTAAATCAATATTGATCACAGCAGGTAACCAATATTTACCTAAAGCCAAAGAACTAAAAAACTGTACAAATGTTATATGGTTCAAACATCCAAGTTACCCATTATTAAATCTAGCAAATAAACTATATAAATTGAAAAAAAAGTTAAAGGATAACAAAAACTCAAATAAATCGAATCAATCTCTTAGCTCAATTTCTAAAATCATTTCAAAACTTACTATTACCCACAATGTAAATATAGATCCATATCTCTCAAATGATAATGAATTAGTTCAAGAGAAATGAATAGAGAACATAAAACAATGGTGGACCATTATCAGAAAGATTATCAAACGAGATCTTATAAAAGAAAAACAATGTGAAATCAAACAGAAAATAGACGTGAGACAAATTATGTTAAATACTAAGTCAAAATTTATGATATACAGAGTTTTAAATCGAGAATCGAAACAAATTGTTCTAGATAAGATCATACAGAACCAAAATGATAATACTGTCACAATAATTACTAATCCTGAACAAATAAAAAGTTGTGTACAAGAACACCTATATCAGTAGATGAAAGGTACTGAAATTATCAACACTATATTAAACTGAAGATGGGCACAATAATATAAACCTATAACTAATATCAAAGATACTATTTATAATCCACTAATAGCAACAATACACGAGGATGAAGTCATCAGAGTCATTAAACTCATGAGTAATAATAAAGCTCCAGGACCATTATTAATATCTTACGAGGTGTTTAAACACTTAGAAGAGAATGGCATCAAATTACTTTATTTACTTTATAATAAAATAATAGAAATCAGAGTAGTTCCAAATAACTGGATAAATAGTAATGTAATATTAATATCCAAGCCTAAAGATTAGGAAAGAAATCTAGAAATCACATGACCAATTACACTCATGGAAACCGCAAGGAAAATCTTTACAAAAATGGTCACAATAAGACTATCAGATATTTTAGTTGAAAACAAAATACTAACAGGAAATAATTACACTGACCTCTCGGAAAGAAGAACGTCATATCCAATACATATTATTAATAATGTAATAGAAGACGCAAAAGAAGACAATAAAGAACTTTGGCTTTTATTTCAAGATATACGAAGGGCTTTCGACTCGGTCGATGCAAAAATGATGAGCCTAGTACTAAAATGACTCAAAATTTCAACAGTTATCATAAACATAATCAACTTTATAGAAGAAAATCGCACTGGACAAGGAATAACAGAATACGGATTAACAGAATCATACAGAATATTCAAAGGGGTAGATCAAGGAGACTCAATCTTATCACTCTTATGGTGTATTTTCTATAACCTTTTATTAGTTGAAATTGAATTCATAAATAAAGGTTATAATATGGAACTCAAATGGAGAATGGACATGACCCTACAAGAACAAATATATGAAACACGAAACATATCATCTCTGACATATATGGATGATACAGTATGGATTACACAAAACAAACAACAAATACAAGAAATTTTAGAAATAGTCCAAGAGTTTTTTGACCTTAATAAAATAAGTGTTAACACATCTAAATTAGAATTAATCCTCGTAAATGGACACAAAGAAGACTATAAGAATGAAATCGATTTCATGAAAAATCAAATAATCCCAAAGAAATTCACTGAAGCAATTCGATACCTAGGTGTTTGGATACAAGAAAATGGAAAAAAAAACATATCAAAAAAGCCTAATAAAAAAAAAAGTTTTTAGGACTACATCCATAATGAATAGAAAACAGCTTACTGATAAACAAAGTTGCTACATCTTGAATTATATTCTATTCCCTCAAATAGAATACCTAATGCAAGATTTGGTACATCTAGGAAAAGACCTTGAGAAACTTAATACTAAAATATGATCTTGTTTTTGTTGCTCTTGTGGACATTCAGCTAAATTACCTACTAGCATACTATATTCACCATTAGGATACAAATTATTTAACTTACACGATAGACAACTACAAGTACATGTAACAGAAATAATAAATAGAATAAACAAAAAGGATCTAACTGGTTAGACAACTAAAGTACGAATTCAAAAATTACAAGATTATATGTGAACTATACATCCAATATGGGAAAAAGAAACTATATTAAAATTCAACACGAGAAACCTCAACCTAACTGGAGAGATCATGAAATTGTTAGCAGTAAATAATATTGAAATACAATTAATAATGAACTGAAATTTCCTATCTTGATTAGAGGAGGAAACTTAGATATTGAATCATTTATGAATTCAGAACTATGGTATCACAAACACCGAGATAGTTTAAAAAAATATGGAGTAATGTATATTGAACAATTACTAAATACAGATATGACAAAAATATTGGAATTAAAATGGATCCATTAATATGACATCCCAAAACACAATATAACCTGGTATACAGATCCCAGTAACAAAATAGAACAAAAATAGGAGTACATACAGAATTCATCAAACATAAATCCTATTAACAAACTAACCTTAGTAGACAAATCTTCAAATTTAAAGGGGAAAATAATAACTACAAATCACTCGCAAGGACTTATCATTGGGAAAATAACTCGTGAGCTCAAATCACGTAATCAAACTGTAGTGATGAGGTATCTAATTCAAGAAACAACAGAACAGGAGACATTCTCGTCACTTATAACATGTGAAAGATGTCCTTTATAAGAATCACTCTCTACACTAGATACAAAAACTAAAGGAACAAATACCAAATACTACGCAATCACAACAAATGTCACAAAAGTTAGTTATTTACCAACTAAAAACTCACGGATCTCAATTAGTAATTCAGAAAATAAAAGAATCAAAATCAGAATTATAATATCCCCTCGCTCTCTAAGACACTATCATGAAAATAATCCAGAACTAATTATTAAAAAATAATTTAAACAGAATATAAATAATCACACATTTTTGCAAAAAATCATTGATGTTAGAAGAATGTACTTGAAAATTACAAAGAAGTAAACGAATAATAGCATACACCAATGGATCTCTTATCACAGATATGATCTCAAATAGCTCAAATCCCACAGAACTAAAAAGACAACGTATGGGCTTTGGGACAATATGTCTTGTGGAAAATCTCAACATGGGAAGAATTAAATGGAAAGAGAAAGTTGAAGACCCACTTTCATCAACAAGAACTGAACTATGGGTTATACTTTCAGTCTTATAGATAATCCCCAATAAAACTTCGATAAAAATAATCACAGACAGTGAATCCTCAATTAAAGTAATTAAAGGCTACACCGATAAATGTAAAGAAAAATACTGGAGTAATTATAGTAATTCATTAATACTGCAAATAATTAAAGAATTAATCTATATAAAAGAAATTGATTTAGAACTGGAAAAAATCAAAGCACACCAAGGGGATTATAATAATGAAAGAGCAGATGAATTAGTAAAATTAAAATCAAATTTGGGATCTATCTTTTCAATAAACTCTAAATATCTACAAGAACAATTTAGACATAAATGGAATGGTAATAATATTGACACGTCAATTAAGGAATTTATCAAAACAAAAGGAGAAATTGAATCAACTATCTCTTAATTTATACAACACTGAATTTATAAATGACTAAATAAAAATATAAAAAAAGAAACTTACTGAAAATGGTCACAAGAAATGTGGCAATAATCTAAAATCACTGATAACAAAACTTCAACTAGAGATAACTCACTTCACTCTTTCTCAATAAAACTGCTAAATGAGAAACTCCCAATAATGAAAGTATTACATACACGAAAACCTGAGATATATAAGGATAAGAAATGTCCATTTTGTAATATTTATGACGAAATCAATACATATATATTTATGTGCAAGGACACTTCAAATACTTTAAGAAATACTTTTTGTTATATTCTTAAAAAAGTATTTACACAAGAAACAGGAAAGAAAACTAATTCAGATATGTTAAAGAAAGTATGCAGATATTGGAAGACAAGTTAGAGACACCCTCCCTGTTGACCGGTTTGCATATAATGATCTAGTCAAAGGACTAATCCCTCGATCAATATATAATATAGTGAAAAATTACATAAATAAAGTTGTGATAACAAAAACGATCATATTTAAAACATTTTACAAATGGAAAAAAATACTTCGGTCCACTTGGATAATGCGGTGTAAGGAGTTTTTAAAATAGGAAATATCAAATGAAATCAATGAAATAAAAAAGAAAAGTAAAAGAAAAAGACTATTTGATAACCTTGATTATTTAGAACTCAAAAAACAATTAGTACAATGGGAAAAGAAAATATCTATTGAGGCTATCGATAGAAGTTATAAATATAATTCAGACATTTTAAATAATATATTCTTTTGTATTGATATAGGTGAGGTTGAAACTTATCAGTAAGAAAGGAAACTTTCTTACGGTGGCAGGTTAGGCCGTAGTTAGTTAATTAGTAACCTAACATGTTTAAGTTATTTTTAACATATATACTTGTATATGACTTAGTCAGATTTTATTCTCTATGTATTTCTTTATTAAATTATTATTAATGAATAAAGTTGAGACCTCACCGGTCCAATTAAATTACAAAATATTAATTGATTATGTATTAACATAAATGAAGTTGAAACCTATCAGTAAGAAAGAAAACTTTCTTACAGTAGCAGGTTAAGCTGTAATTTGTTAATTATTAACTTAACGAGTTTAGATTATTATTAATGTATATATATTTATATATAGTCATCAGGAAATTTAATTAGGCGTCAATTTACGGAAATATCACATGACCTCCAGAAATTTCCACTTGAAAAATTTGACTTTTTAACTTTGGCCAAGATTTAGATGACAGGGAGTGATTTTTTACTAAGATGTTTCTAAGATAGATCGAAAGTCCTGGTTTTTGACTACAGGATGATATGTGTTTCATTATTATAGTATCAATATTTGCGGAGAAATTCACGTTTAAATTCAAAACGTCCGTGAAAATTTATGCCGTAATTTTTTCGTAAAATTTTTGTAATTCTGGTGGAAATTTTTGTGACGTATAAAAATTTCCGCCAGAATTACAAAAATTTACGGAAAAATTATGGCATAAATTTTCACGGACGTTTTGAATTTAAACGTGAATTTCTCCGCGAATATCGATGCTATAGTAATGAAACACATATCATCTTGTAGCCAAAAACCAGGGCTTTCGATCTATCTTAGAAACATCTTAGTAGAAAATCGCTCCCTGTCGCTTAAATCTCGGCCAAAGTTAAAAAATCAAATTTTTCAGGTGGAAATTTCCAGAGGTCATGTGATATTTCCATATCAAGATCTCACCGGTTCAATTAAATTACAAAATATAGGTTTATTAAAATATGAAATTACATGAATTATATTTTCGATCACTTCTATTTATATAAAATTATACAACTTTGATAATTTCAACAAAGGACAACTATAAATAAATAGTGTATTTTTAGACTTAAAACTATAATACTGTACAAGTATAAGATGCAATGGTGATTTATTTAATGGTCTTATTTCTGTTATTAATAATGTCTAAATAATAAAAGAGTTAAGTAAATTACTATATTTTATTATAAAATCATTTTAATAGTCTTTGCATAACAAATTCCTTTATCTGATAGATATTCAGAAAGTTTTTTATTATTTATAGCTATTGTTATATTGTTAAACTATTGTTAACTGTAATTACCTTTACTAAATATAATTAACAACTAATAACAGGAAAACTATTTTCTAAAAGATTACAAAGCAATTAGACAAACATGTTAAAGTTGAAGGGTTTATACTTTGGAAGAATATAAAAAGTAAGGGTTTAATATTGTGGATTTGTTCGAAAGAATCTAAAGGTGTGAAGATTTAAAGGGGTATGGAGTTTTTCACTAAGTTTACAGTTATTCACAAAGAATATTGTCAGTTTCATACAGAAATTTTAATAATTCACACAGAATTAATATAATTAACACAGATCATGAAGCAAGGTTAATTATAAATAAAATAATATCAAAATCACGAAGTAAGATATTATTATCAAGAAAATATTTCACTAAGAACTCAAAGGTGTCAAATTATTACTTGTCATGAAAACTTTTATTAATAATTTATTACATATATTGAATTCAGAATATAATCAAGTTTTAACTGTTCTAACTTTAAGGGCAAAAGCTACCTCTATTTATACAAAATTATCATCTTGTTATAAAACTATACATGCCATCCAAATTCCAAATTATTTTAACATTTCGATTGTCAAAATTCAGTTTTTATAATATTTGGAATTTGGAATTTGGCATAATTTGAAATTTGGGATTTCAGTAATTAGTGATTTGGAATTTGAAATTTGTGATTTGGAATTTGTGATTTGGGATTTGGGATTTAGCATTTTGAATCTGTGTGGTACCTATAACATTATTAGATACTATAGTTACAAATTTTTCTAGTTCTATTTTTTCAAGAACTTTTTTTATTTTTTTAATTAAAAAGATTACAATATGTGAATTTAATAATAAGTCTAAAGGCTAATATAAATATTCTTTATATGATAGAGTGAGAATAATAAAATTTTAAATAGATTTATTGTTTTTTAAAGTTCAACTATTTATAGCTATAAAATAAAATAATTTACTATTATTATATGTATACTTCACAGTAAAATAATTATATCAATTATATTAATTAGTAAAACAATTATGTCAAATTATATCTATAAATTATTTTAATTAGTAATATCTATAAAAAATTATAATATGTCAATATTATGTTAAATAAGTATAATTATAATATATTATAAATAAATAAATATAATTATTTTATCAAGAGTTAAATCAACTTGATTATCTAAATCTACTTTAATATTATAGTATAATTCACTTTTAAGAAAATGTTTAGATTATCTTGTACACAAAATTATTTGAAATCCCGAAATTACAATTTTGAAAAAAAAAAGTTGAAATAGAAGATGAAATTATTTTACTTAAAATTCAAAATTTTTTGACCATCCAAATTTATTCTTTGATTAAATATACACATAACTGAATACTTTTTTTACTTTAATATATAAAATAGATTTTGCATAAATTTCAAAAAGTTGAAATATTTCAAAAATCCAAAATCAATTTTGAAAACATGTATAATTCAGATTATATATGTTTCCAAAATTGATTTTGGATTTTTGAGGTATTTCGACTTTTTGAGATTTATGCAAAATCTATTCTATATATAGAAGTAAAAAAAGTACCTAGTTATATGTATCTTCAATCAAAGAATAAATCTGGATGGTCAAAAAATTTCGAGTTTTAAGTAAAATAATTTCATCTTCTATGAAAAACTATTTTGATTTTTTTCTCCAAAATTGTAATTTCGGGGCTCCAAAATAATTTTGCGTGCAAGTATAATTCAGATTATACTTTATAGTAAAATAATTATATCAATTATATTAATTAGTAAAACAATTATATCAAATTATATCTACAAATTATTTTACTTAGTAATACCTATAAAAAATTATAATATATTAAATTATGTCAGTATTATGTTAAATAAATATTATCCAAACAAGTATTTTCTTGTTAACAAAGTATATTCAATATTTAATTTACTTATAAAATCTATAAAAAAGAAATGTTCAACAATTCTATATAAAATTTCATATACTATAAAGAACTTAATTAATGTATAATTAATTTTATTAGTTCTGTTTTCTGAAATTTCTACAGAATCATGAAAATTTTTCAAAGTTTTTTGTTTTTCACGTAATTTTCATTTTTATTAGAGATTTTTTTTTGATTTTGAACTTTTATCATATATTCACAAAGTACAAGCATAGGTATATTTGAACAATGATTTACAAGATGTTTTTTAAGAATTATTACTTCTCCTCATTTTTATGATATAGAACAATATTTACATTATGTACTAAGTTTTTCTGAACTAATAGTTTCTTTTTTTTAAAAATGTTTTCAAATTACTTTTAAAGATTTTTCATTAATATTTTTTATTTTAAGTAAAATTTATATAAACAATTATTTTTAATAATAATAAAAATAATATAAATATTATTAAAAGAATATATTCGATACTTTTTTACTTGTTACTATTATTTTTATTAAAGTAATAAAAGTAAAATTTCAAAAATACATTTATAAAAATTTAAAAATAATATTATTAATTGTAAATCATAAAAATTGATTGGTTAAATATTTTCATAATAATTTTGACATTTTACCAAATAATTTAGTTTCACCAATAGTAAAACATTTTCCAACAGTTTAAACTGTTATAAGTAAGGATTTTACCTTTTGCCAAATCCTTCAATAGGTTTTACCTGGCAACCTTAATTTATAGTATACTAAATTGACATTTTTAATGTATTATTTAAATATTTTATATTTATAGTATATTAAAATTAATATTTTTAATGTATTATTTAAATATTTTATATTTATAGCATACTAGAACATCTCTATAAAATTCCTGATGTTATAACTAATATTGTAATTGTATAAAGAAATTTTATTTATAAAAAAAAATTGAACCAAGTTAAAGTGTGATTTAAAGAAAAGAGTATTTATACAGGAGGTAACTTTAGAGGAAGTCCACTGTATATGGATCCTCATAGTATCAAATATATCTCAGTTTTCTTTACATAATTCTTTCTTCAGTTGATTCCACTCTGTTATTTAATAAAATTGTTTGGATTCCTCTATAAAAGAATTCAATGTATTTTTCATTTTGTACTTCTTGCGCTTTGATTGCAAAACTATATTCTAGATAATAAATATCAAGTTCTAATCCATCTGGATAATAAATATCAAGTTCTAATCCATTTGAATATTCTGGAGTTTTTAAAAAATCAGGTCTGCAAATTTTTGATTGTAGCCCAAGATGATTTCTCAGTATAATTGTTTATGTTTATACTTATAACAAAATAGATACCAGGTATCACTTTTCACATTATCAAGAGATGCATGCTATAGATGCTTTTCTTTGCAACATGTAATTGATTATTTTTATACTCAGTTGAAAGGCATTGTCCATGTCTAGACAATGCATCCTCGAGAGTTAATTTCATACTACCTGCACAATACGGACACCAGCTTCCTTGTTGAACACTATTAGGAACGGCTTCCCATCTATGATTATTTTCATAAATCCATTCTAATTTTTATTTGCAAATCATAATATTGATCTGAAAGGAATCTCCATTTTTTATTTGTGTGAGTTTACCATATCCTCTTTTGACTAATATCGGCCAATACAAAATGGACATCATTGTCCTCTATTTTTAATATGATTAAGATTATTTTGCTATTGATAGTTAAATTGGCATTTCCAGATAAGTGATCACTTATGTTATTATATTCAGTTGAAAGACATTCACCACGCCTAGACAATGCAATTTGTTTCACGTCCTCAAGAGCTAATTTTGTATTTGTGCAAAATGGGTATCATGTTCTAGAATATTTAATGTTATGGAACGGACTATTCCAAATATGACCTTGATGAAAATTCTGTTCAATCATATACAATATGATTATAGTGATCTACGGAAGATCACAACCCTTATATTAATAATATTAAATAATATTGATATAATAATGATAAGTACTCAACCTTCGTTTAATATATTAAATATTTAAATTGTTTATAAAGAAGGATTTAAGACAATGACTTTTCTACATTTTTTATCATATGGAGCAGTGCTTCTCTCGTTTTTATTTGTCACCTATTGTTTAGGTATATTTCACACCTTGGTTTTTTTTCCTAGAGAAAAGAGGACGCGTAAAGATTATTCTAACATTAATTCATTGAATTATTTTATAAAGCATGTGGACTTTATCATTTAGGTATATTTTCCTTTTTATAACCATTGTATTTTTAACGCGTTTTATTTATAAGTAACTCTCAAGTATTAATTTGTTTTAATGTTAAATCCAAATATTCACTTTAGCTGAATTTGTTGAAGAATATACAGTTTTAACGAAAAAGATTATTAAAAAAGCTACTTGGGTATTTAACAGAGTATTTTCATGATAAAGATTTTTCTGTATTCAAAATTTATTACAATTTTATTCAAATAATTTATTAGGCTGTTATTTTCATTCACATCTTTCTCTATTTATTTGATGGATTCCCAATTTGGCGAACTCTTTTTTCAATTATGTGTCATGGAATTTACACATTAAATTTGAAAACTTTTCCTTTTATCAGTTTGACAAGTCCTCCACTTATTTTAAGTTGTGGTAAGTTTATCATCCATCAAAAAAAATATATATATATATACATATTTAAACTAAATATTTATAATTACTGTTTATGATGAAGGGAAAGAATATTTATTTATTTATTTTAAAAAAAGTTCTTGTTATAGTTAACCATTTTCAATGGTTTCAATATTTCACCTCGCGTTACTTTGTGTTCATGGAAGTTGCCGCATTTTTTGGAACATGCATTTGGATGATTCCTTTTGCATACTTTATTTCAATAAGTGCTAATGATAATACTTTACCATCCTTTGGTTTGTTATTTTATAAATTGTTACTCTCTTATCTCTTTTTTTTTTATTCTTTTTTTTATTCTTTCTTTTTTTCTTCTTCTTTTCTTTTATTTTCTCTCTCTCTTTTTTTTTTTTTCTTTTTTCCTTTATTTTTATTTTTTATTTTTATTTTTTTTTTTCACATAGATCCAAATGTTCATAATGATGATCATCTCCCCGCACGAAACAAGGGAGGAATATTGAAAAATTTATTCAATTTTATTTTACAAAAGAAAGATAACATGATTCCAATGACAGCACAAACTATTCCTCCTCCTCCTCCTATTTCTTCTTCTACATTAGTTTCAGGAAACTTAAGAAAGAATTTGTGATCATTGAAATAATTTTAAAAAAAAATGAGCTCATGGACTCTCTTAATTCTCTTATTTTTTTTTTCAATGATATTTAAATTCTAGTTATGGGATATATATGTAATATATTTAGGATTTGGTAGAAGTTTCTTCTTCATTTTTTTTGATAAAAATACCGGTCGTATCGGGATATTTTTCTTCTAATGAATCAGCGACATAACTTCCAACCAAAGCGAAAGTTATCCCACCTATATTTATTTCAATGAAAAAATCAATGTCAACTTATTTAATTATTAATTATTTATTTTTAACAATTTTAACAATTTTTAAAAATTCCATAATTTTTTTTAAAAAAATAATATATTTACATTGATACATTTAAACAATTAAAATATATTTATATATATTTATTATTATTTATTATTACCTAAAGAAAAATATATTCTAGTACGTCTTGGAAGCGATTTCCAAGATTGCCAAATTGATTTTGTCATTTGTTAGATGGAACTGAAAACTTTAGATAAATCTGATAATAATTACACAATCTACATAATGTGTGTGTGACAAAGTTATTATAACAAACAATATTTGGAGATTTTTTTATGGAGATCGAAATTATTAATTATGAATAAAAGGAAAATGTCAAGGTGGAATTCAAAAAAAAAAAAAAAATACAATTATCTCCACAATTTCTCTTTTTCTTTTTTCCACGTCCACTTAAAGTCGTACTTTTCGTATACGTACATTAAATTTAAACTTCACTATCCTTTAAAAACTGGTGGCAGCATATTCTTATAACTTTTATTCATACATTTAATTCAAATTTTCACTATATTCTTTAAAAACCGGTGGTAACATATTCTTATAATTCCAACTTTTCTTAAAAATGTTGCATAAACAGAAAAAAGTTTTCACTAATACCAAATCATCGGAATTACTTTTTGCTTCTTATTTGGCAAATATGAATGTTACCAACGGTACCTTGAAAAAAAGGAAATCCCGAGAAAATCTTAAGATTGATCATACAGTAAGTCAACATTGCGTTCGTGAAAAAATTACATAATTAGAATTATATTTATATTAAATTTTTTTTTTTTTTTTTTTTTTAAAAAAAAAGAGAATCGATATCCTGGTTAAAAAGATTGGAATGGAAAATTCGTGGAATGATAATCAATTAAAGTTAATTTTAACAATTTTGATTAAAAATCGAATTTATACTGTGAAAGATCTTCGATCCTTATCAAACGAAAGTTGGGCGGTAATTAATTAAATATTTATTTGTTTATTTGAATATAAATTTTCTTTATTTAAATATTTGGAAATCAACTTAAAAAATTTTCTTTCTTATTTTAGCGAATTGAATTATTATCGAATATCAAAGATTTGTTATACGCGGCGATTAATCGCGGATATGGTAAATTCAAGTTTATTTATTATATTATTATATTTATGTTATTAAAAATCACATCGAATTTATTTTTTATCATGAATTTATTTATTAGATGAAAATGGTGTTAAAACGAAAACAGAAAAGGAAAGAAAAGAATCTAATAATAGAGAAGTATTGGGTTCAAAGGAAATTAAAGAGAACATAAGCAATAATAAAGTTCAGCCTCTTCCTTCTTCTCTTCTTGAAAATGACAAAAAACCGTCTCTTTTCTTACCTCCACCTAACAAAAAAGTTGATGGTAATAAATTAAAAGTAAAAACTGCTAATGGGAAAATTTATCAAGTTGATAGATGGTGTCCGCATGACAATGCGGATCTCAATATCAAGGGGGTTATAATAGGTTCAAAATTATTTTGTACGAAACACAATTGGTCTTTTGATTTAGAGGATGGTGGAACTTATTCTAATGAACCTGAGAAATCCTCTATTAACGCATCTCCAATTAATGTTTGGTGAATGTCTTTAATTAATTTATATTTTTCAAGTCTCTCCTTCCCTTAATCTCTTCTTCATTCTTACATTCATTTATTTAATAATAATAAACACAGAAATAATTATTTAATTTATTTATATATTTGTTAACTTAATCTAATAATAACTTAATTTAATAACTTAAAACTGTAATCCTGTTGACAATTGTTCAGCATCAACTATACAATTATATTATGATGATGTGTCATTCGTTTTTTAGTACATCACATGTTTTTATCCAAAAACTTATTAACAATTAATAATAAAAGTTGTTCTTTATCATACATAAGAATATTAATAAAAATAATAATAATAATAAAAATGATGTAAAACAAAACAAACAAACGAAAAAAAAAAATCGATCTTTCAAATATGTATATATAAAAACTGAAACTTTATAAATTGTAAAATGCTAATTGTATTGTAAATATTGTAATCATGGACATGAACTACAGAATAATTACATGAACATCTGAATAATTTAAGCATATATAAAAATGTTAAAAATGTGAATTTATGTAATCCAAAAATTGAAAACGATATGTAAAGAAGTTTAATTATAATTTAATCATAAATTTAATTATATAATTTAGTAATTATAAGTAATTATATTTGATCACTAATACTTGTGGTGTATACATATATTATATATTATAAACTTTCATTTAACACTACTTCAAACCAAAACCTTCACTTCCCATTATAGCTTCCTTCAATTTTTCTTCTAACTTCTTTTTCGTGCGATATCGATATAGACATAATTGGTTAAAGCATGTATGCGCGATTGGAAATCTAAAAATTAAGATTAAAATTAAGGTTTAAGATTAAAATTAAAGTTTAAGGTTAAAGTTAAGGTTAAATCGAAATGACAGATAATATAGTCATCATAATCATCATCATCATCATTATTATTTACCTTTCACTGTCATCACCAATGCAAGAAATTTTAAATGCTAAATTTGCACATCCTGTAGCAGGAATTCTATCAGTACCCGTAACAAATGTAAGTAATTTACGTTGCATCGGAGGATCCATTTGTTTAAAGATTGACCAGAAATTTTGAATACTTTCTTCATTTTCTCGAAATCCTTCATAAACCGTAACAGCTCGTAATTGTTCAATTTCAAGTGGTTCGGCACTACCTCGAACTAAAAGTTCAATTTCTTCTGGTTGAAAAAGCTATTCAAATATAATATTATTCAATTGTGAACAAAAATAAACTTCAAAAACGAATTAATTTCTAAAAAAAAAAAAAAAAGAAATATATTATTATTATTAACATTAACATACCGATAATGCATTACCACCACAAACTTGAGTGAAACCACGTTTAAATGGATCAAATTGTTTCGCTATTGATTCATTCAATATAAAATCAACGTATTTCTCAACATATTCTGAAAATAAATAAATAAAATATAAAATAAATATTAAAATAAATAAAAAAGTAAAATTAAGAATTAATTAATTTTATTTTTTATTTTACAAACCTTTCCTATTAGCCTCAGTAAGTGGTATATTTTCTCCATTGGGTATTAAAGGAACTCTCTTCACTTCACCATATGCATTATATTCAGCTACAAAATCTCGACAAAATGTTGTTCTCACATCACCTTCAAATGTAAGAAGTTGTTCTAATCCTCGAGCAAATGCTGGACGAAATACTTTTAAATCTTCTAAATCCACAGGTACCCCAAATAATTTTTTATAACAAGCCAAAGGAAAATGAACATCTAAAATGGTAGAATTATATATAGCCAATCCTATGACTACACCAACTAAAAAGTATTGATCACTTGTTTCAAAGCTGGTAGGATTAAACCAACATAAGTTTGAATCCTCATCCCATGTGAACATTCCTTAAAAAAAATAAAATACTAAATATTAATAAAAGACTTATATATTATTATATAATATGAAGGTATTTCATTATTATATTATTAAAAATGATATTCACCAAATTGTGGATCAAACAAATGTCGTACTAATAATAAGAACCATTCTTTTCGTAAACCACCAGCATCAACTCCATCTTCATCAATAAACTCTATTCGTAAAGATTTTTTAAGTTCTAATTCATTAGCAGCAATTTGACTTAATGAATCTTCAATTAAAAAGTCCCTTCGAATTCGTAATATTAGATGTGGCGCGGTGACACGTTTTTGAAAAAGTATTGTGAAGAACGCTTCCTAAAATAAATAAAATAATAATGGAGGAAAAATTAAATTAGTTATGTTTTTTTTATATATTCTTTTTTTTTTTTTTTAATATTATGTTTATTCTCAAAATAAAATATACGCAATAAAATAAATGAATTAAATGAATTCAATAATACACCTTCGCTTTTGAGTCCATTTGTCGTTTTGCATCATATTCCATTATCTGCATTTTCCCACCCATACTTATCAAGAATGGATATTGACAAAATGCGAATTTACTATAAAATAAAAATAAAATAAAATAAAAATAAAATAAAATAAAAATAAAAATAAAATAAAAATAAAAAAAAAAAATAAAAATAAAATAAATAAAAAATAAATAAATAAATAAAAATAAAAATATAAAATAAAAATAAAAAATAAAAATAAAAAATAAAAATAAAATAAAATAAAAATATAAAATAAAAATATAAAATAAAAATTAAAAATAAAAATAAAAATAAAATAAAAATAATATAAAATAAAATAAAGTAAAAATAAAAAAAAAAATAAAAATAAAATAAAAATAAAATAAAATAAAATAAAGTAAAAATAAAAAAAAAATAAAATTAAATTATTATAGAAAAATTGAAAAACGAGAATACACTACGAAACAGAAATATACAATGGAGAAATGAATACCAACCCGGAACGTTGTTCCCAAGTATCAAAATCGTTTATTAATTGAATAAAATAATCTACAAATGTGTTGTAAAATTCCGATAAAGGTATTTTATTTTGTTGTTTATTCGCTGCAACTGTAAATTAATTCGAAAAAAAAACAATTAGAAAATTGAGAAATCCATTTAAATAATTTAAATAATTTAAATAATTTAAATTTATATAAAATATATATATATATAAAACGTACACAACAAAGCCATCACACGTGCTGCAGAACCAACACGCCAATCCGTTTCATAAGTTCCTGTATTTGCAACTCGTTGTTGTTTATTAAGTCTATAGCTTATAAATGAATTAACAAGATCTACCCGTTTTCGAAATATTGCCGTTGAATACCTAGAATTCCCAATTGTTAATTATAACCGACAGATGATATAAAATAATAAATAATATAAATTAATATAAATAATAAAATTAATATAAATAACAAAAATAATATAAATTAATATAAATTAATATAAATTAATATAAATCTAATATAAATAATAAAATTAATAACAAACCGCATAAACCAATTAACCAAGAAGTGATGAAGTTCATTACTCAAATTAGATAATAAACCAAAAACTCTTTTTACAATATTATGATGATATTGAGACTCTTGAGGAAAATTATGTTGAGAAAGAAGTGGATTCTGAATTATTTTAATTTTAAGAATGTTAAGATAAGAAAAAATTCAATCGATTTATTGTATAAATTAATTAGTGAATAGCCATACATCAGATTTAATATTTCCACCACATTTATTATAAATTTATTATTATTATTATTATCATCATCATTATTATTTTCATTATTTTCATTATTATTTTCATTATTATTTTCATTATTATTTTTATTATTATTATTATTATTATTATTATTATTATTATTATTATTATTATTATTATTATTATTATTATAACAAACGGTGCAAACCTCGAGGATTATCATTAAAAATTTAATATCTTCTATCCTTTTTAATTTTCTTTTTTTTTCCACAAAATAAAAAATTAAGAATAAAAAAAAATTAATAAAATGATAATAATAATAAATAATAATAATTTCATGTACACAAAAAAAAAAAAAAAAAAAAAAAAAAAAAAAACCTGCTAGGACGTTTCAATATTGTTTCAATTGATTTCATCATTGCCCTTATAATATTTACAGGCTAAATAAATATAAACATTAAATATTGAATAAATAAATATCAAAAGAAATGAATAAATATAAATATTGAATAAAATATAAAAATGAAATAGAAAAAAATATAAATCAATAAATATAAAATATATATAAAATAAAGATAAACAAAGATAAATAAAATAATTTACCATTTCTAATAAAATTCGATATGTTTCTCTAACTTGATCCAAAGCTACTCCACAATCGTCCAATGTAATAATGTGCCCCTTTGTTAAAAAGAAGAATAAAACTAGAATTAGTTAAAAATATATATATATATATATATAAAATAAATGATAACACTATTTTTAACATTTAATAAATATTAACCAAGTTTTTTTGCATCTTACATTGCTAAAACTTTCATTTAATATCGACCAATTAGAGAATGATTTTTGTATTGTTTGTTCTAATAAATCAGAGCTTTGACTACCTCGATTTCCACCACCACAACTATTATTATTTTTATTATTATTATTATTATTATTATTATTATTATTATTATTATAAATATTTACTAATGTCTTAATTTTATCTAACGTCAACGGGGAAATTTGGTCACCTTTATTTTTATTATTATTATAGAATTATTATTGTTAAATTAAATTAAATTAAATTAAATTAATTGAAATTAAAATTAAAATTAAAATAAGTTAAATTAAATAACATAAAATAAAATAAAAAATAAATAAAATAAAACATACTGCGTGAGGGAGGAGGAGAATTCAGGTCATTAATCGTCTGACACACTGTACATCGAAAACATGATACATTGCTGGGAAATCGTAAATTGCTACAGATAGAAATAAAATATCAATAAAATTATATGATATAATTTTTATAATAAATTTTTTTTTATGATATATATTTTAAGAAGTATATTACCTATTACAACACATGCATTTTCCAACCATCTATTTTTTTTTTTTTTTTTTTTTTTTTAAAAAAAAAAAGAAAGATCGAAAATAAATAAGCACACGCACACCCGCATAAAATGAAAAAAAAGGAATTTGTGTGATAACTTGCCATTGTTGTATTTAAATTCGATGGTGAAGTTGAATACCCCCCAACACTAATACTACCTCCAACACCGTTGTTGGACATTGGGATAGGGCCATTAAGATTATTAACAATACTATTATTATTACTACTACTTGTACTACTCGTTAAATTTATGGCTGGCGATTCTGCTGAGTTCCCAAAACTACTTAAAGAGGCACTACTAGAATTTGGATGTTTAAACCTTCCCGAAGCCATATACTTTCGAAAATGATTTTTTGATGATTTCAGAAATATATAATCTAAATAACGAAAATTAAAGATAAATGGTGATGATAAGAAAATGTAATATATATGAATGTATAATGAATGTATAATGTATAATGAATGTATGAAATATATATGGTAGTAAAAGTTAAGTAAGTACTACAACTATGTGATGATAATTAAATTAAAATAAAAATACATATATATATAGTTGAATAGCAACCAATATCAGCTGATCATAAATTTTAGATTAAAGTTTTATCAAAGCATTTCTGGCAGATAGTTATCTGCTATTAATTATTATTAATTTACTACTTTTTTTTTCGAGAATTTTATTTCTTAAACGCAATGTCCTCTCCGAAACCAAGGACCATTGCCGTATTAGGTTCTCGTGCCGTAGGCAAGTTTTTCCCGTTGAATTTTTTTTTTTCCTTATATACATATTATTATTTTATTCTCATTTTTTTTAAAAAAAAATTTTGACAGGTAAATCTACTTTGACAATTCAATTTGTTGAAAACCATTTTGTTGACTCTTATTATCCTACTATCGAGAATACTTTTAATAAAGTTATAAGATATCGAGGACAAGAAATTGCTGCCGAAATTATTGATACTGCTGGTCAGGTATTGTGTATATTGTGTATATTATTTGGAAAATTTAAATGATAATAAAATTTGATAATTTGATTTTAAAAATATTTCTGATTTATTTATTTCACATTTATTATCACATTTATTATCACATTTATTATCACATTTATTATCATCATTTAGGATGAATATTCAATTTTTAATGAAACTCATGCAGTGGGAATTCATGGTTATGTTTTAGTGTATTCAATAACATCGAGACAAAGTTTTGAAATGATTAAAATTATTAGAGATAAAATTTTGATGCAAACAGGAACAGAATCTGTTCCAATTGTTTTGGTTGGAAATAAAACTGATTTACATATGCAAAGGTATGAAAATATTTAATTCTAAAAAATTTTATAAAATTTTATAAAATTTTATAAAATTTTATATAATTGAGATTTATAGAGAAATTGGATTTTTTTTGATAGAACATTATCTCCTGAAGAAGGAAAAGAATTGGCTACACAATGGAAGTGTGCATGGACTGAAGCATCAGCCAAACATAATGAAAATATAAGTAAGCAAATGTAAAAAATTTCTATAACTTATATAAAATTATAATTAGTAATTATTTTATTTTAATTTTTGTATTGTAATAATAAATTTAGCTAGAATTTTCGAACTTATGATAAGCGAAATTGAAAAGAATCTAAATCCTCATGAAGATGGAAATAATGGTTGTGTTATTATTTAATAATAACAATAAAAAATAAAAAAAAAGTGAGCATTTACACATTTAGTTTAATGGGTATTTTTAGGTATTATTATTTATTTTATTTTATTTTATTTTTTTGATTCCAGTTTGATCACCATACAATTCTTTTACTTTCTACATTTATTAATTATATTTATTATTTAGGACCTTTATTTTGTTATTATATTTATTATATTTATCATATTTATTATATTTATTATACAAGCTATCGTGAATACTACTATCAAAAATGTTCGCTTAAAATATTATCAAAATAGAATTGAATACTGTGAATTAAGTTGATTCCGTACGTCGCCTAGCGAATAGTTGAGTTCACTTAACTCAGTGGTCAGTGGTCAAGGAACACAGTGTAAGTCAAGGTAAAATTATTTAAGACATCTATTTATTCTACGACCAAGAATAAAATAATGAATAACAATAGAAAAGAACAATAAGTGGAAATTAATAATAATAATAAAATATTATTTTAATTCAATTAAATCATACATATCTGCTTCAGCCAATACCTCGTGAGTATCTCGCTCTTTTCTTCTGTTTTTATTTTTTTACGTGAACCAATCATACCTTTGATGATAACATTAATAATAATAAAGCGTCTCAGGTAGATAATTAGAAATCAAAATTGAATCATGAGGGAGTTCGTTAACAAATGTCTTTTCGATGGCTTCATTAGTTTTAATTTCAGACGAGCGAAGCATCAACCAGAAGGTTATGAGGGAATTCATTAATACGGATAGCTTCGACGGTTTGCAAATAATTTTTTTCTCAAGCTTTTTTGGTTCGTTGAGAGATACGATGTTAGTGATAGAGTTGATAAACAAAATCAAGACAGCAAGCTTCGCGTACTTACCCTTATTAAGTGCTTTGATCGGCTATGACCCCAGCTGATCTGCCAAAGAAGGTTGTATGGAAAGACTCGATCAAAGATCTTTTTTTTTTTTCCAATTATCTTAATATATTCGTCATCAAGATCAAATTCATCTTGTTTAGTGTAAGGGTGAGCAAACCTCTGACCGATGAACATCCTACCTTCCTCACTTCAGTTTATTACTGCGGAATTTGAGTGATAGACGGAGTTTTTTTTTGACATTTACTTATTAAAATTAAATTAAAAAATTAAATTAAAATTATGATCAATAATTATTTTAAATTTAATTTTTAATCAATAAACATATTTTAATATTGGAATAATTTGCATTTTATTGTTGTACAAAATTCTGCAATTAATTGAAATTTATATTTAAAAATTAGCAATATTAAGGATGCCATCTTTATCCATAATATAAGTGGTTACCCAATAATAACTGCGAGTATTTTCTTCGAGGAAATTCACACGTGACATCGCACGCAGGATCGTAGTATCAATTATTGTACCGATTAGAGTAGGTAATTTTATCACCGTGTGTCACACCCTTCTAATATCAATTTTTATTAATACTGTACTGTACAGGGAATGCGGAAACCATATTTGTCACCTAATATTCGTCACTATAATTTATCACATGAATTTAGCACGTGAGATAATTCTGGTCACCTGTAAATTCTGGACCAATGAAATTCTGAGGATGCACTCCCCTGACAGGATAAAAGCCTGTACGGAGTGTATAGGTTAAGAGTCCTCGTTATTTATTGCTGCGCGAGGACATTCTACACGTGACATAAGTTTATCTTGTAGAATGAATGCCAGTATACAATTGAAACAACTTGCGGAAAGATCCCGTAACGTAGCAAATTCCATTATCGATCGCGATTTGCCTCCGATTGAAAGAAATTTAGAACAAATTGAGAAGCAATCGCGTAAACTTGCTGACAAAACTGTAAAACCTGGTGAAACTCCTGAGAGAAAAGCGTACGTGTCAATTTTGATCGTTGTTCATAATTTTTTAATTTAAATCAAATAAAGTAGCTTATTCACAAGATCGTAGTTTTATCTTAGTTTATTTTTTTTTGATTGTTTCATATTCGTTAACCTGTTAGCAGTCCTTATTTCTTAGCGAATATTGGAATCGATGGAGATAAATTAGCACAAGATGTGAAGAGCATAAATGTTTTGGGTGCCTTTGAACCGCGAGTCGTTCTCCCAGACACAGATGTTGAAGTACGTTTTTATTTATATAAATTGTATATAAAAAAAAATTGTAATTCATACAAAAATTTTATTTTCTAAAAATAAATATAAAAAAACACCTACTTTTGTATGATAGAAATATCTTGATCATAAACATCAACAAACTATTACGAGTATTATTAAAGATGGTTACACTCAGGTACTTTGATTAATAATTAATAATTAATTTAATTAGTTAATTAATTAATTTAATTCGATTAAATTTATTTTGTGGAAAAATTCAGACGATAAAGGATTATAATGATCATTTTGATCGATGTTTACATCAAGATTGGGAAAGGTTCAAGAGAAAAGTATTTGAAGAACTTGGACAACACAAACCTATGAGTTCGAAAAGTGGAATTGATCAAACACCTAATATAGGAGGTAGCCGGATTGTAAACCAACCTCAATTTTCACCTACTCCATCTATATCGGTTTGCATAAAATATGTTTATTAACTTTTCAATACAGAGCAAATATGGAAATTATCGAATAATGTTTAATAATAATATCATATATTATTTCAAATACGTTGAAAGAATCAATCTTATTTCACACCGGGGGAGCGACGTGTTTCATTTAGGAATGATACCGGAACACAATCGAACAATCGACATTTGGTTTATTTTGATGTCGTAGTTAAGTTGAACGATTCGAGATTGGCTAAAATTGAATATGGAATTATAAATGAATTTAGTAACGCTGCAAAGAAAATCAGTTTGGATTATGTAGGAAATGAGTGATTATTCCGTTCCATCTTTATAATTCTATTAATTACTTAAAATAAAATAAATTCTAACATATAGATATATGTATGTGTTTATATACATATATATATATTTATTTATATTTAGGGAAAGAAAATGATGCAGTGTTGGCAGGCGCTTGCATATCTTGTCGGTGAAACCAATGTTATTGATGGGCGGTTTACGCGTAATCCGTTGAAACAGCGACAATTTGCTTCGATCTATCAATCACCTAATAGTTCGGCATATAAAGATTTTTGTAGATCTCTCATAAATGGTGCTAAAAGTTATTTAGAAGAATAGTATGTAAAAAATTTATTTATTTATTTATTAGCTAATTATACATTGCTTATATTTCTATTTTCCATTTCTAGTTATCGATCATGGTCTAAGGGCTATGTGAATTCATTTCGAGATGTAGCCATGTTAGGAGGACAACCATCCGCCATTAACATGGCGAGTGCTGTTTTACGAGCTATTCATCGTCCAAACGGAGGTATTCCAACGGTTAATCTACATGTATGTTTGATTCGATGTTTGAATTCTTTTATTTTATATGTTTATTAAAGATTTATTTTACCTTTTGGTAGATGGTTGATAATGTTCCAATGTGGGGTCACATTTTTATCCTTGTACGACAAGGTTTCTATCAAGAATCCTTAGAGGTGGCGCGAGCTTATCAATCGTATTTTCCGAGACAAGATCTACAATTTGTGACTTACTTTTCCCGATTTGTCGCAAATAGCAATAGGTTTGTAACGTGTACACTTATTTAATGTAAAAAAAAATAAGTTTATTAAATTATTTTTAATTTTTTTTTTTCTCCTTTTCTTTGACTAGCCTTCTTCCACAAGATCGACAAAAATTGATTGCGGAGATTAAACAATGGACACCTATAACTTTTCAGGATAAAGACCCTTATAAATTCATCATGTACCAAATAGTTGCGCAGCTTGAAGAATTACCACAGAAACCTCAAATCGATAACGTTTTGCCTGCCTTTGAAGATTATATGTGGATGAAGGTGATTTTTTAATCAAATGAAATTTTTTTTTTTTTTTTGTAAAAAGAATCTAATCAATAATGGTTTCTTTAGTTAATATGTATACGAGAGATTACACCAACTGACGAAACATCGAGTGACACTTTGACGTTAGATTCTCTACAAAAGACAATTAGGAGTTTAGGTCCCAGTCATTTCAATCATGGAGGAAAAGATCCCATACAATATTTTCGTGCTCTGCTGTTAACTGCACAATTTGAAAGGGTAAATATCTTTTCGCATTCACACATATATTTATAATATATATTATATATATTGTATATATTGTATATATCTGTACATATTTCTCATAGCTTTAATTTGAATACTTTTATTTCTCAGGCGGTTCAATATTTATATCAAACTGACTATTCTGAGGATTCCGTACATTTTGCTATTGCACATGCTTATTACGGATTACTTCGAGTACCCGATAACGGAGGAGCCATGGCATTACGTAAAGATATATTTTATGTGCTATGATTCTATTATTATTTTATTTATTTATTTTTTTTTTTAACTTGAATATTATTTTTGAACTTTTTTAGTTGTCGAAGTAGGCGAGAAAAAAATTCCATATCTCAACTTTAATACACTAATAGTTCAGTATGCACGATCGTTAGCTAAGGAAAATTCACCTAGTACGGCATTTCATTATCTTCTTTTACTGTATCTTTATGGTAATAAACAAACGGAAGCTGGACGTTATCAAATTGAATTGTGTCATGAAAATATTCGACAACTCGTATACGATACGGAAGCTTTTGCTGAGTTAGTAGGTGACATCCGTAAAAGAGAGGTTGATATTATAATTATTTAATATTAATTTAAATGAATGATGGTTCATAGTTAATTTTTAATATTTATTGTTATTTATTTTTTAAGGGTCTAATAAGAAAATATATGTCTTTAATGTTTATTGAAAACGATAATGATTACACGGATACGATTGTCAATGTGCTTGCACGACAATGCGTCGAGGATGGAAAATTCAAATCAGCGAGAAATCTTTATGAATTGACAGAGGTGATTTATTTAAATATCATTTTCTTTATCATTTTTGGATAATATAACGTTTGTCTTTTCATAATTTATTCTTATATAATTATTTCTCAGAATTATGAGGAAATCATGGCATTACATGTCAAAATGCTTGCTGAATATATATGGATTTCCATACGATGTATAAGTGTTCAACCTGATACGGCTAAAGAATTAGATCCACAAGAAATAAGTCGTATTTTGAAAGATTATGAAAAATTCCATGTAACATCAAGAATATCGCAAAATCGTTTGAAGGATTGTCGTACTCTATTAGGTTTAGTTGATTTCATTGAAGTTTACAAACAAAAAGATTATGTTAAAGCTGTTTCCGTAAGTACAAATGATGATGATGATATTTCATTTGGAATTTTTTGTTATATACTAATATAATATATATTTTAACCTTTTTTTTTTTAAAAAAAATAATAATAATAATAATAATCTTTAAAAGCTTATCCAACGTCTCGATCTCTTCCCGTTCGAAGATGATCTTCCTATCATTCAACAAAAAGTTAGTGCAATCGAGGCATTTGGTGACCAAATGAAAAATTGTATCCCAGAACTTTTGCATATTACGATGAGATGCATGTACGAATATTGTCAACAATTAAAGGAACACATAACAAGAGGAACTCCAGGTTTAAATCGAAAATATGCAGATGTAAGTTTTGATTCAAATATTTTCAAATCGGATTTCATTATATCAAATCTGAAATGTACTGATTTGTATTTATTTTATTTAAGGAATTATTCAATATTCAAAAAAAGGCTAAGACGTTAGTAACATTTGCAGGATATCTTAAATCAAGGTATAAATTTCACATATTAAAAAATTTACATGAATCTCGTTTCAAATTTTAAACAAAATTATTTAAAATACTAAAATAATTTATCATTATAGTTTATTATCGTCGGATATATATCACAAATTACATGAATTAGATATTCAAATAAGATCAGTGTGAAAATAACCGTGGACTTCTATGAAAACTGAACTGAACAAATAATCAGAATCATATTTCAACCACTTTAAGGAATAGATTATATATATAAGCCCAGAGAATATTGTATTTTAGAAAATTTTAGAAGATAATCATCAAATAATTTCATCTTTATATTGTTATAAATTTTGAAGTTTATTATTATTTATAACAGGAATGATTGTTTAATAAATTTATGAAATAATAACAAATGAAATTTGATTATTTATTTATTAAATATTTCGGTTATTAATTTATAAACGTACATGTTTCGGGTCGGATTCATTATATTATACAATGTTCACATTATAAACATTATGAATTACGTCATGTGACATTCATGCATGTATTGTGTTTTTGTATTTTAGCGAAACTTTTATCGTTATACCAACCTAAATCGAAATCGAAATCTCGAAAAAATTTCGAAATGGATTATATATCAAATCAACTTGCGGAAAATAACGAAAGTTATATGAATACTTTGAACGCGACAGATTTTACAATACTTTCTACTAATGACCCCATGCTTGATTACTTGACAAACTTCGACACGACAAACACGACCGAGAAGTTAAAGAATGCGGATCCGCAAGAAGTACTTGAAACTTTAGATTTAAATAGACAACTTCAAACAGAATTGGATAAATTTAGAGAGGAAATTGAAGTTGCCCAACAAAGAAATATAACACTTCAAGTAATTATAGGATACAAAATTTTTTTTTTTTTTTGTTTTCTATCCAGTCAGTTCGTAGTTTTTCAAAATAGAACTTATTTCATACTAAAAACCTTATAAGACACGTCTTAGACAATTAAAACTTGAAGAAACTGTTGATTCGGAAAAAAACAATTTAATATCACCGGGATCTCAGAAAACATTTGGGCCGCCTTTTTTTGGTGATGCAGACGGAAACGTAGGCGAGTTTGTCAGAATTATATATGATTCAATCATCTTTTATATTAAAAATTGACACCTTTGATCTATTTCTTCAGACTCCACCCGAAAATGAAGATGAAAAGAATAATCAACCATTAATTTTTAAAAGCACAAGATGTAAATCATGAAAAATTTTAATCATCAATTTTTTTTTTTCTTTTGTATTTTTATTAGTTTATTTTAATAATTAATATTTTTATAGGGACTCAGCATGAGAAAGATGCTCTTAGAAGAGGAGTCAAAGATCATAATATGAAGCGAGAAGCACTGAGAGCTCTTCGAGAGTAAGAAAACAATAATAATTTTTTTTTTTATTTTCTCAATTTTCGTTTCGTAATTCTTAATAATTTATTAATTAATTTTTTAAATAAATTAGAGGTAATTCAATATCTTCAATAGAAAAAATACCGAAAGAACAATTTCTTTATGGTGTCGAAGATGTGGATTGGGCACAATTGGCGAAACAATATGTATGAATCAAAAAATTAATATCTTGATTATAATAAAAAATTATGAATAAATAAATAATTTATGTTTCGTTCAATTAGGTACCAACTAAAACAAAAGAAGATTGTGTAATTCAATGGACTAATCACGATCATCCTTGCATAAATAATAATGAATGGACCACTCAAGAAACAAAAAAATTGCTTGAAGTAGCGAAACAGAATGAATATAGAAATTGGGTTAAGATCGCGTTAGATTTGGGAGTGAGTAAATTTGATTAACAATTTGAAAATATTTTTATTGGAAGGGAAATGTTTCATTTATCGTTATTCATTTTTTTCTTAAATATTTATTTGAATAGACGAACAGAACAGCTGCTGAATGCTTTAAACAATACAATAGACAATCATCCAATCCTCGGTAGGTGTTTGCTCCTCTTATTGATATTCTATTTGTATTGTTTTTAACATTTTGTATTTTATAGAAAATGGACAAAAGAGGAAGATGAAATATTAACTCGAGCTGTTGATCTCTATGGAGAAAAAAATTGGCAACAAGGTTCAAATTATACATGATTTTTTTATATTTAATATATTTAATTTATTTAATTCGTTTCTTTATTATTATATTTTTTTTTATTCGATTCGGTATCATTCTTTAATTATCATTTTGTTATCAGTTGCACATTGTCTTGATAATAGAACAGGACAACAATGCTTACATCGATGGACCAAAACATTAAATCCCGCAATTCGACGAGGGCGATGGAAAAAGGAAGATGATGAGGTAAAAAATTTTTATTACAAATATTTGATTATGGTTCAAATAAAATAATACCAAAAATAATACATAAAACAGGCGCTCAAAAATGCAGTTTCGATTTACGGACCAGGCAATTGGATGAAAATACAACAATATGTACTGGGTAGAACTGATGTTCAATGTCGTGAGAGATGGATGAATGTACTTAGTCCTGAAATAAAGAAGGATCCATGGGCCAATGAAGTTAATATTTATTTATTTATTTAATTTATTACATTTTTTGGTAATTTGTTAGTTGAGAAATTTATCATTATTATCATTACATTATTATTATTATTATTATTATTATTATTATTAGGAAGACGAAAAGTTATTGAGTTTAGTACAGAATATCGGATTAGGGAAATGGTCAAAGATTTCAACTTTTATGGACGGAAGAACAGATAATCAGGTAAATCACATTTAATCAATTAAATTTATTATTATTTATTTATTTATTTCAAATATATTAAGATTTATTAAATTATTATTATTATTTATTTATAATGTTAGTGTTGGCGTCGATATAAAATATTGAAAAAACAAGCTGCGAAGAGGAACATTAACAGATCTCTAATTTAGAAAATAAACTTATGATTTTAATGCACATCTTAAAAAATATGATATGTATTTATTCTTATATTGTATTGTACAAATGTCAAAAAAATAAATTAAAGAGAAATAAAATAATATGATACTATATACATCAAATAAATAATATGCTACTATATGTCATCTATAAACATCAAATATCCTATGATATTAATAATATTAAAATGCTTACATTATTACATTATCATCGTTTCTTGGTTTCCAGTTCGCGTTAAGAAATCTACAAATAGAGAGACGACGCACAGGTGTAGGCCTATAACGCCGCCATTAACATAAAACAACAACAAATAGAATAAATAAAATAAATAGCCTCACCATCTAAATCTTCTAAAGTTTCCAAACCTACCTCAAATATCGTCGTCCTAATAGATGTGAAAAAGAAAAAAAAATAAAAGATTAAATATTTGTAAGATAAGGAATAAGGAAAAATGAAGAAAAAATGAGAAAGTTAGATTAAAAAAAAAGGAAGTGAAAAAAAGTGGAGATTTAAATACCTTTTTTTTCAGGAGAAAAAAAAACTGATATCGATTTTATCTATAATCATAAGCTGCATATGCTGATCTGTAATTAAGATAACTGAAATTTCTGAAATTTGAAATTTTCGAATTTTAAAACTCAGATTATCTCATACAAATTTCCTTTTTTGAAAAACAATCGAAAAGATTCGAAAAGTTTCTGGGTTCTAAAAGTTTCGATGACATATTAAGAATATATAATAATATATAATTAAGACTATGATGCTGATCAAATAAATTCTTCAGCTATTTTGCTTTCTCTCCACTTCACTTTTTCTGTCCTAACTTTTCTTTTTTCATTTTTTCCGCTTTTCTAATTTCAAGTTTACTTTTACTATTATTATTAAAGATTATTAAATAATATTAAAGAATAAAAATATTAACCTTTATTTTTTATTATTTTCCACATCTTATTAGGACGACGATATTTGAGGTAGGTTTGGAAGAAAGAAACATTAGAAGATTTAGAAGATTTAGAAGATTTAGATGTGAGGTGGGTTTTTTTCTATTTATTCTATTTGTTTGTTTGTTGTTTAAAGCTAATGGCGGCGTATAGGCCTACACCTGTGCGTCGTCTCTCTATTTGTAGTTTCCTAACGCGAACTGGAGACCAAGAAACGATAATAATGTAAGCGTTTTATAATTTTATTGATAGAAAAGCGGAAATAGAAAAAAGAAAATTTTGAATTAGATATTTTTATATTTTTGAAATATTTTCTTAAATGAATAAAATAAAATGATAAATTTGAAAGTATTGAAATCATTATTTTTATTTGAAAGTGTTCATTACATTATTATTTTTGATTGATCGAGTTCACGCATACATCTGAAGAAGAAAAAAAAATGAAAATACATGTATAATTTTACTTCGTAAAATAATTGACATTTTTGTGACAAATTAGTGTTGAGGCACAAATTGTTCTTCGAAGTCTTTTGCTTTTAAATTCTTCGATACTGCTGGTGAAAATTCTAAAGTAGAAGGCATGAAAGAATTCAAATTTGTTAGATGACGAGATGTGTTGTTTAGAGATCAAATAAATTTAGGAATGGATTATATAGCATTTATATTTTTTGTCACACTCACATTATAAACTCTATAAACTGTATTGTATAACAAGTTTTTTTAAAAAGCAATAATAATGGGAAGAACTAATAATTCTACATCGATATTTGAACAGTAAGTTTTATTCAATTATAATTCTTTATTACTTGAATCATTTTTTCTGTCTAATTCAAATTATTATTATCATTATTATTATTATTATTATTATTATTATTATTACTATCAGACGCAGACGAATTCGTCAAGAGAGGACTTATTCCATTTGGCCACCATCCCCAGAATATTCTCCAAAATCCGAAAAGTGCGCAATGTTATTTTACATGTGTATATATATATATATATGTTTTATTTTTATTGTATTAAAAAAAAACTTTACCCATTATATAGATTACTATATGTTAAATCAGAATTACCAAAAAAGAAACGATCTCGAAGTATCAGTGATTCAGAGGACTTTTCCCATTCGTCAATATCGTCAGAAGGTAGAATCTAAATATTTATGAAAGAACGAAAGATAGCAAGAATATATAATGTAACAGAATTAATGTTCTTTTAAATAATTTAAATAATTTAAATAATTTATTTTTTTTTTTAAAAAAAAAAAAATAGATGATAAAAAACGTAATTCAAAAAAGAGGAAACATCGAGAATCAACAAAAAAGCATAAATCTAAAAAACATAAGAAATCAAACTTTCATAAACATCACAAACAATCTAAAGAAAAAGAAATTATTTCGAGCAGTGGTGGTGAAAATGATTATGCCAGTTCCAATGAATCGTATGAAAAGAAAAATCAAGATCATGACAGTGTAAATGGAAAAGATATTATAAATGTTGATGAGAAAGAATTGGAGAAGATGGATGAACTTTGGATTGAGAAAAAAGGTAATGATTCTAAATTTTGAAATAAAATTCATCTTTTTTTAAAAGACTAAAATATATTTTTTTTAATCATTAATTATATAGTTGAGTTACCCGAGGATTTATTAAATGTTGGACCTGTTCCAATCTCCGTTAATGAAAATAAACTTGGGGAAAGAGAGTGCGTTATTATTATTATTATTATTATTATTATTTCTTCTTGTCCTTATTATTATATTTTTATTTTTTGTTTATTTGAATTAATTATTGAATTATACACGCATATATATATAATATTATTATTATTAATTATTTTAGTTATGGAGGAGCTTTATTGGCAGGTGAAGGTTCAGCTATGGCTGCATATGTACAAGAAGGCAAACGTATTCCACGTCGTGGTGAAATTGGTCTCACCTCTAATGAAATTCAATCTTTCGAAGATGTTGGTTATGTCATGAGTGGTAGTCGGTATGTTCTTTTAGTATTATTTAACAAGTAGTGTTATTTACAATATATTAAAAAATTGATTAATTCGATCAAATCTATCAAATTGCATATTTTTTTTAGTCATCGACGTATGAATGCAGTACGTATTCGTAAAGAAAATCAAGTTATTTCTGCAGAAGAGAAACGGGCTTTGATGCTATACAAGTAAGTGATGATATATATATATATATATATATTTATTAATATGATGTTTCTTATTATAATTTATTTAATTTATATTTTTTTGATCATTACATTTATTAAATTCATTATACAGCCAAGAAGAAAAAGCCAAGAAAGAAAACAAGATTATTTCAGATTTCAGAGAATTGGTATCCGATCGAATGAGAGGAAAATAATAATATATTTCAGAAAAGTTTCTTTGTAGATCATAATTGATTAATGGGATTACCCGAAAACGTAATTTAAGATAGATTCATGTGATACACTTTTGACATGTTAAGTTGATTGGTATATGTATCATTTGTTTCACTTCGATTATTTCACCTACTTATGATATACATTCAATTTTGTCACCTGGAACAATAATTATTGAATTATCGATTATAAATAATATACGCGACGTTTTATTATTATTTTCAATGACTACTCGTGTACTTTCTTGCCTACTTTGTTTTAAAATTTACGATACAAAGAAAAAAAATTCAGAGCCACGAACGAAAAAATCACAAAAACAATAAATTTGTTCCACACCGTCATATACTTGGTAAACCTTTGGAAGAAACCTTATCCTTTTATAGAGATGCGATGATAATTCGCTTAAAAAATAGTCTAGGGTTTAATAGACACTCAATTGGAAAAAAACATACAGTAATTGATGCATTTCCAGAGAGTGTATTTTTTATCTTTGTTTGAAAAAAATGAGGATAGCTTCAAATACATACCAAGCCTATGAAAATATCAATGCACTTTGGAAGGCGCAGTAGGCGGAGAAATATTAAAAAGCATATTTAAAATACGATCAAATTATATTTCGTGAAAATAAGGATACTTCAACAAAAGGTTGCATTTTACTTGAAGACAATGGTGGGCAATACAAATTAACTTTTATTTGGAAACAAAAGGAATGGAAAGAGAACAATAGACTTTTTTTAACTGAAATTTTATCAATTAATTTTATTACTAATTCTGGCGGATTTGTAAATGAGTAAGTATGATTATATTGATTATATATAGTGTATTTAAATATTTTGAATTGTTGTTAATTTAATTATTAATAGTGACTGTTCAAAAATCATCATTAAATGGTAATCATGCTTTACATACAATTAATAAATATAATTTTTATAATGTATCATCTATTCTTTCTCAATCAAATAGAAATAATAATAAAACTTTTACTAAACCACATTATAGATATATTTTGCCCCATCTCCAACTTAAAAATATTCCTTCAAACAATAAATAATTTAAAAAAATATTATATAAACAATAGATGTATTTAATAAAACACAATTTAATATTACATTTTCAAAATAAACAGAAATAGTTTGAGTTTGGAGCATTTAGACCTATAATAATGTATAAAAATTTTCAATCTCCAGAAAAGAAGAATTCAATTAGCCAATGATTACTATCTTCATCAATTATTCCATTCTGTTTTAAATTTGTTATTTGTAGTACAAATATTTTATCAACTTTGTCTAAAATCTCATGTTTCTTTTTCCACATATAGACATAAACTAAAATAAAAATTAATTTATTATTATAATAAATGTTAAAATTAATTCAATATGAATAAAAAATAACTATATTGTTTACTAGGTTTAAGTATCTCTTCAATAAACAAAAAGTAATTATCATATAATTTGTTTTCTTCTTACATTTCCTCCATCTCCTCCAAGTTTAATATAAAGAGTATCTCCAGGAATTATTACTGAATTATTTTTCCAAATTGGTATCAATATTTTAAGAAAAGTTATCAAAGAACAAAAAGCACCATTTCCTATTTCATTATTAGATATCAAAATATGATTAATAATTTCATTATTGTTATTATCAAAATTGAATTTATCAATATCCTGATCTATATTAAAAATTTCTACAGGTATCTGAGCATTTATAAGCTCATTTATTTAATTTCTACGATCAGCAACTAAATATTCACAAAAAAGACTAGGTACAACAGCTGCCAAATGTCTATAACCATCTCGACTCAAAAGTGCTTCATTACATACTCTTACTACAGTACCCAATCTTGTTTGAGTAATTTCTGGATTCAATTTTTTAAATTTAATTTGAACTTGATTTTCTTTATAATCAAATTCAATATAATGTGTATATACAATAGATTGTTCTGATGAATCTGTTAATTTGTATTTTACAATGCATTCATCAACAGCTCTTTCTATATCTTTTTCAAGACTTTTAAATCTTTTGTGTTGTTGTGAACATGAAGTAATATCTTCAAATGGTTTAATTTGTTTATTAACTTTGTTGAAATAATAGGACATGGATTTATTTTAATACAAATATATGTAAAGGTTCAATATCAAAACCATAAATTGTGGGTCCAGAAAGTTTAGAGTTTTTTAGATTAATTTTCTAATTATAATAAAATAAATAAAATTAATTTATTATAATTTATTCATTACATGTTGGGATTTTGAATAAATAAATAAAATTAATATAAAATTAATATTACACATTTGTTTAAATGAATTAATTATATATCAGAGTTAAAATAATAAAATTAATAATATAATAAATTAAATCTATATAATAATACAAATTAAAAATAAAATAATAAATCATATTAATATAAATAATTTAATAATAAAAGTTAATTTTATTAATATTAATTATTAAAAACGTAATTATAAAATCAAATTAACTATACCTTTAAAAATGTGTTAATGACTGCTGTAGCTGGTTTTGTGTTATTAACACTCCATTCAGCACATCCTTCCTTCAATGCAACAGTGTAATTTACTTTTGAATTAGATTCATATTTTGTTTCACATTTAACTTTTCTTTCAGCAACTTCTGTTTCAATTATATATCTAATATTGGGGTATATTATCACAGTTTGTTTTTTGAGTTAATTTTGGTGCTATGGGATAAGTTCCTAGGGCAATAACATTATAATATGAACTATATGTTCATCCTTTTGATTTATATTGAGCTTCAATTCTTGGACTTTTTGAATAATCTTGTATAAAAGTATGACTGGAGAAAGAATTTTTAGAGTATTTTAAAATAGAATAAAACAAATAAAATAAATAAAATAATATATTTAACAAACACCTTCTAAAACTTGATTTTCTATATTTTGACCTTCTACACTCTCGTCACCTACATTACGATTTTCTTTATCAATACCACTTTCTATATCTTGAACTTCTACCATTAGAATATTGATTTTCAACTAGTTTTAATATTTTACAAACAAAAAATATATTTATTTATTATTTTTTTATGGTTTTAATACAAATAAGAGATAGCTTTGCATACTGATTTCACAGACGATTCCATTGAAAAAAGATTCCCAATGGATTTCCAATGGATTCCGCAATTTCAATGCAAAAACTTTTTAGTAATTGGTTTATACATTTTAATATCACATATTTGTCACGTTTTAGTCATGTGCTAAAATCAAAATTTGGGATTAGTGATATGAGACAAATCGGCCCATATGATTGACTAGTGTCAAAAGTCTCTAACATATATATATATATTAACTTTACTAAGAATTGGTTTTTGTGTAATAGACTAAGTCAATTTTTTGTAATCAGAAAATTGTTGAATCAAATTATTATTCATAATCTCATTCTTATAATACAAATAATAAAACATATAAAATTAGTGCTCTTAATTCTTTTCATATGATTAATTAATCATATATTTTAAAATATGAGGAATAAATTATATAAAATATGTCCTGTTTCAAACTTTTCATAAAAACAAATAGAACTTTAATTTCAATAAATTTCATTATAACTTTATTATATTGAACAAATCATCATGTAAATAGAAAATATATGCTCCATTGAAATAACCCTACAAATACTGAAGAGACAGAATTTCATCAGTACTTGAAATTAGCTGAAGGAGGAACCCTCTCAGGACGGAATAATCTTGGGTATTTTTATAAAAAAGGAAATAGAACCATAAAATATAAAGAAAAAATATTTCAGTGGTACCTGAAATCAGCTGAAGGAGGAAATCATTCAGGACAATACAATCTTGGAATATGTTACTCAAATGGGATTGGAACAATGAAAGATGAAAAAAAAGCTTTTCAGTAGTACCTAAAATCAGCCGAAGGGAGAGATCATGAAGGACAACAAGCTCTTGGATATTGTTACGAAAATGGGATTGGAACAACAAAAGATGAAGAGAAAGCATTCCACTGGTACTTGAAATCAACTGAAGGGGGAAATCATAATGGAATTGGAACTGTAAAAGATGAAGAAAAAGCATTTCAGTGGTATCTGAAGTCAGCTAAAGGGGAAATCATTCAGAACAATACAAGCTTGAAATATGCTATTCAAATGGAATTGGAACCATAAAAGATGAAGAGAAAGAATTTCATGGTACCTGAAATCAGCTGAAGGAGGAGATCATGAAGGACAATATAATCTTGCCCTATGTTATTCAAATGGGATTGGAACCACAAAAGATGAAGAAAAAGCATTTCTTTGGTACCTGAAATCTGCCCAAGGGTGAAATCATTCAGGACAATATAGTCTTGGTGTGTTATTCAAATGTGATTGGAACTACAAAAGATGAAGAAAAAGCATTCCAGTGGTGCATAAAATCCGCTGAGGGAGGTAATCATTCAGGAATACAATCTTGGGGTGTGTTATAATAATGGAATTGGAACTATAAAAGATAAAAAAAAGCATTTCAGTGGTACCTGAAATCAGCTGAAGGGGAAATTCATTTAGGACAATACAATCTTTCTCAATGTTATTCAAATGGGATTGGCACCATAAAAGATGAAGAGAAAGCATTTCAGTGGTATCTGAAATCAGCTGAAGGAAGACACCATAAAGAACAAATCTCCATTGAATGATTCTATAGAAATGAATTTGGAATTTCAAATGTCAAAAAAAATCAAAATAAATTAAAGTATAGAACTGTGAAATTTCTGTAAGTTTACAATCTGAGCATGTATTATTTTTTATAGTCAAATCTCCAAAGTGGACTAGTGATAACTATGAAGCTGACAAGATTATTCAAATGACTCATTTAGATGAAGATGCAAATGAATGGTAAATTTGGAGATGGATAGATTATAGTGAGTTGAAAGATATAGAATATTTAGCTGAAGGAGGGTTTGGCAGTGTTTGGAAAGCAGAATGGATAGATATGCCTGAAGGATTATTTGAATTTTATAAATCAATTCAAGTTGCCTTGAAAAAACTTAAAAATTCACAAGAGATTAGTTCAGAATTTTTAAAAGAGGTAAATATATTAATATATTAGTATTCTTTTTATATACATAATATAATATATTTATTTTAATCTTTGTAAATATAGTTGAAAGCAAATTTCCGATGTCGTGATAAATATGTTTTACCAATTTTGGGAATAACCCAAGATCCAACAACAAAAGAATTTGCAATAGTTTTACGATATATGAAAAATGGAAATTTGAGAGATTTTCTTAACCAAAATAAATCCTTACCTTAAATTGAACGATTATGGTTATTGAATTCTTTTATTCAAGGATTAAAGTCATTCATAGTAAAGGATTTATCTATCGTGACCTTCATCCTGGAAACCTTATGATAACTGAGATCTATAATAATTCAAAATATAAATTTGTAAGATTGGGGGATTTAGGATTATGCAGATTAGCAAATGAAACTTTATCATCTGGAGTATATGGTGTATTGCCATATATTGTACCTGAGGTATTAAATAAATATCAATATACTCAAGCTTCAGACATTTATAGTTTTGGAACAATTATGTGGTTTATTTCGACAGGAAAAAAACCTTTTGCTAATAGAGCATATGATTCAGAATTAGCTGCTGATATTTTCAATGGACTTCGACTGAAAATGGACAAAGGCACACCTCAATGTTATATAGAATTAATGGAATTGTGTTGGCACAAAAATCCAGCTAAACGTTCAAGTGCTGAAATAATTTCTTTTATATCAGAATATTGGGTTGATAGTTTGTTGCATGATAAAAAAACGGTACATTCACATATGCTTTTAAATACAGATCAAAAAAATGCAAGATGAAGGTGAATATAAAGATTTCTCTTCTGCTGAAACTACACATTCTGATGCATTCCTAACAAATAAACCTATACCTTCTTCTTTTAAAAGGTTTAATATAAATAATCTCAATTTTGATTTAATCTGTTTGGATCAAATAGGTAGTGCAATTATTTTAAGCAGGCTTACATTATTTAACTGAAATTTCTTAATCTATTGTCTGTTTCCAAGTCACAAATTACACATAATCATTATAATTAACTTATATAGTTTTGGTAATTTTATAAATTATTTGATTGTGTTTCTTATCAAACTATATAAATCTACTGTATTATTATTAATTGATACTCCACCAGTCAACTTTAGAAATTTTTTAATTTTTTGTAAATGTAGAAAGCTTTCATATAAGTCTTGATTTTTATGTAAAATTTTTCTTAAAACAATTCTGAGATACAAAATATTTATTTATTGATTTAATTTAATATTTATTAAATATAAAATTACATAAAAAATTATTGAAATAACTTTAATTATATTAAAAATATGCAAAGTCTGTGCACATATTTAAACTTATATTTCGATATTATTAAACAATATTTAAAATATTAACTATAGAATATTACGAAATTTAAATTTAAAGTAACAATTCAAGGAAAATTTACATTTTTTTAAATTGTATTTTTTTAATTTTTAAAATTAATGATACTTGAAAAACTAATTTTAATTGGGTGAAACTTAGTGCGTCTCTAGTAAGTAAAGCATATAATACAATTATTAGTTTTAAAATTATTATTATATAGAAATTTTTTAGCTTATTTACTCGTAGAGCATCAAATATTATATTTTTATTTTATGATTTTATAACATTTTATTACTTTGCAACTTAAAATATATTGTGCACGATGTATTTACAATACATTGAACAATTATCTTACACTATAAAAGATGATGAATGTTTATATCAAAGTGAATCTTCAAATATTAAAAAAAAATCAATAATTAATATTTATATATATTAATTGACTAGTGGTAAAAATAAGTTGATAAGATTACCAAATGATTCAATTAGATGAAATGCAAATGGGAGATGGGTAGATTATTGTAATTCAAAAATATCGAAGGAGGGTTGGCAATGTTTGGAAAACAGAATGGATAAACATGCCCGATTTTATAAATCAAGTCAAGGTTGAATATTAGATATGAGATAAGTTCAGCATGTTTGCAATCGTTAATAAATATTAAAAAATATGAAAATAATATTTTGAAATTTCTATAAAATAATCCAAAGTTATTACTGCAAATAATTTCTTTGGAAAATTTAAAAATTTCATACTCATCAAAAGTACTCATCGGGATGAATTGGTTGACTGTAACTTGCAGACAATCACTATCTCTGCAATGGCAATTTTGCTAGTTTCAAATTATTCCATAAAAATTAATATGTGCATGATAAAAGTTCTTAAAATGGAACTCTTCATATTTACAATTTTTTAATGAAAATATAAAACTATATATTATTATTTTTATGGGATTCCAAGAATTTCTCTTGTTCCGTCCATTTTTGAACATCAATTGTATTTGAAACTTTATCACGAATTCCATAATATTTTTAACATGAAACCGCCACGAATTCATATGGATTATTTTCAATGTTGGGTTTCTTTTTTACCAATACATGATGAAATCTCTAAAGCGTGCTCATCAGTAATGATTTTAGAAGATAAACGAAATGGTGTATCTCCAGTTGGAAGTGTTTTAGTTAAGATTTCTCAAGGTAGCAATATTGTTAAAGAGATTAGTCTGTTAGGCGCCATGGAAATGAAAATGAATATTAATGTCAAACCATAGCAAAAATCATATTCCCTGAATGCCTTGGGCTTGAAATTATCTTATGCACCGAAAAATCAATTAAAATAAATAAATATTATACGATTTTTTTTTATAATTCCCGACAAAAAATAATAATGATAAAATAATGGAGAAAGTAGAACATCTACTTTGTCTACTGATCTCGGTAAATGCACATGTGCTAATTTCTTAACCTTGAAAGAAACTTTGAAGAAATTTCTCCCACACATTATACATTTTAGTATTTCTGGAGAAAGTGTCATGTAAAACATAAAAACTTCTTGAACAACGTCTTTTTTTAGGTATTAACACTAAATTTATTTTA